GACTTCCAGCTTGAGATTCTTCCTCCTCTCTTCGAATTTTCCAATTCCTCCCACACACAGACTCGTTTTCTCTTTTTATACAAAGTTCTTAAAGTGGCTTTCGTGTTGGATTGCTCCTATTGGAGCAATTTCCCTCTAGATCGTTCGGCGATCCTCAGCCAAAATTTTTTTTTTTTTCAATCCGGCCCCAACTTCTTTTATTTCTATCAATTAACTTCCCCACTTTCAAATTAGCCCCAAAACAATTTAATTGTTGCAATTTAGTCCAAAATTAATTAATTAAAATATAAAAATCAGGTTATTACAAAATCGGTGCTTCGCTTGGAAGTACCACACACAAAATCCCTTGACCTGGGCCACCTTGTCACCTTCTAAGATGGCGGTCCACATGCGGCAAAGGCGGCTACTATTAGGGGTGTTCACGGTTTGGTTTCTTTTAGTTTTTTTGCAAAATTATACTGTACCAATTATTTCAATTTTTTTAATATTAAAATCAAAACCATACTTTTTGATATCGATACTGTGTAACAACCCAAATTTTAAATTTTTTATTAGTTTAGGGACTAATTTGAAGGATTAAAACTAAAGGGGGCTGAGTTGGAAATATCCTAGGGACCGATTGGAGAATGAACTGAGTTGAGGGACCAAAACAGAATTTTCTGAAAAACCTGTCATGAGCAATGTCCGGAGCTACCTTTCGCCAATTTCACCACACCGGTAATGATTTGAGCTGGGTTTCCACGCCATTTCGTGCGTTTTTGCAAAAGGAACCGAACCCCTCGAGTTATTTTCAACTTTGAAGCAAGAGTGAAGGAAAATTTGGGAGCTTGAAGCTTCGTTCAGTTCGCGGGAGGTCGAGCAGAATGTTCTGGGTTTTGGGAGCCGATTCTTGTTGTTCTTCTCCGATTGACTGTTGCTGCGAGGTCGCCAGAGGTTGGCGCCGTGTTTGGGCTGCTTGATCGACCGAGGTAAGCCGCGTGACTGGTTGTTTTCGTTTTTCTCGGATGGCGAGGAGTTGCAGGCAACCGGGTTGAACACCTGGTTGCCGGGTGAAAGACATGGATCCAGAAGGATCCGGGTCCGCGTGTTAGGCCAACCCAGTGGGCTGGGCGGCCTGCGGGCTTGAACCGCGGGCCGAGCACAAAAAAAAAAAAAAAAAAAAAAAAGAAGTTGGGGCGTTGGCTTGGGCCGGCCCAGTGGGCTGGCGCCCAAGCCAAAGGGGGGGCTCGAGCTGAGCCGCTGGGTTGGCGACTCAAGCCAAAAAAAAAAAAAAAAAAGAAGAGGGGGGCTTTGACCGAACCGGCCGAGGCTTTGATCGGCCGGTTCAGTGGCCAATTCAACTCGAATTTGGTTTTTTAACCGGTTCTGGATTCAAGGGGATGAGATCTATCAAACCAAGTGGGTTCGGGAAATTTTGGGTGCCCGGTTCGAGATGAACCGGCCAGTTTAGTGTGTTGTCCTTCGGGTGACTGGTTCACTGGTTTTCAGGCCGGTTCTTGGGGAGTTTGGACCGGTTCCTAGTTCAACATGATGAAATCTAGTTAACCGTGTAGTTTGATGATTTTTGGAGGTCCGGTTCAAGGTGAACCGGTCTCGGTTTGTGTGCCACTAATTAGGGGTTTGAGTTCTTGGCTTAGTTCGGAGCTGGTTTGAGCCCTTTTCGGCCGGTTTCAAACTAGTTCTTAAGGTTTTTAGGCCTTCTGATTCTGATTTTAAGGGTTTCGTGGCCATTTGAGTTGAGCTGGAGGTGGTTTTGAATCAGACTAAGTCGTTCGAGGGTTTTGGAGGTCGATTCACTATAGTTCGAGGTTTGTGGAGGCTGGTTCCGTAGTGTTGAGGGTGGTTAAGTAGATTTTTTCAGTGTTAGTGAGTTGCGTAGGTTCCGGTGACAGGTCATGTTTCCTCGAGATGCGTGCCATGGGGCCAGTTTGGGATTTGAGTCCAGTTTGAGGCTATCGAGCCTGTTTTCGTGCTGCTGGTTTCAGCATTGGTGATGGTTTTGTGTGATTTTGATTACAGATTCACAGGCAGGGGCACACCCGGACCACTGAGTCGGGCTAGGTGACTCGGGACTTTCGTTTTGGCTTAGCGTCTGTACGGTGAGTGATGATACCCTCTTATACTTGTGTTTTCATACTGTGATTCTCTTACATGATGATTACGTGATTTTGGAAACTATATATGATTATATGTTATACTCGGGATTTGTTATGTGTTTTGTGAACTGTCAATGAGTTATGTTAGTATGTGATACTAGTTTTGAGATGTGAACTGTATAAGCGTATGTATATTGCTTTTGGCTTATATGTGAGGATTGTTGTGTGATGTGAGGCAGCGGGGGCCGCGGGCGGCAGAGGCTGTGGATGTGATGTGTGATGTGTGATGTGAGGCGGCGGGGTCGCAGGCGGCAGAGGTCGCGGATGTGACGTGTGATGTGATTTGAGGGACGGTAGGAACTCCGCTGGAGTACGGTGATTTGTATTGTCCAGTGGTGAGTGGCCTGAGTCCAGTGATGGGATTTGGGGATGCCAGGAACTCGGCTAGAGTGCAGTAATCCGTAACGTCTAGTGGTGAGTCGGCCTGGGTCCTGCGAGGTGATTGCGATGCCAGGAACTCGGCTGGAGTATGGTGACCCATAGCGTCTAGTGGTGAGTAGGCCTGGGTCCAGTGCTGTTACGCGAGGTGCTGTGATGTGATATTGGTTGCTGGTATTCTTGAGTGTATGTTGTTATGTTTACTAATCATTGTATGTGTATGGTTTTGGATTTGTGGCATGATATATATATCCTGATATGCATAGATTAGGTATCATCTATACTCACTGAGTTTCGCGACTCATAGTTTTTAAACATTTCTAGATTTATTTGACTGTACTCACCTTGGTTAGCGTGCTCGTGTGGGAGACAGCGACTGCGGATTTGATCGATGTACGGGCACTTCTCTTTTGTATCTTTTCCCTATTGTATTCTAGAGTAACTTCTTTATACTCTCAAGACAGGATCTCGGATGGTTTTTGGATATTATATTATTGCACTTTGTGTATATTTTGGTATCTTCAGAGTTCGACTGGTTTTGTTAAGGCTTACTGGGGTCGGTGGATCCCAGTGCCGATCACAGGTCCCGGGTTCGGGGCGTGACATATTGTTACTTCGGTTTTATTCGGTTTCGGTATGGTTTTTATGGTTTTTTTTAATTATATTAAAATATTTAAGTAAACTAATAAAAATTTTACAAAATCACACAAAAATATTCTTTTAGTATATAACTAATATGAAAAAATCAAATTATTTTAAGATTATATAATGTTAATAATTTCCTACATTTAAGGATTTAATTTTAAAACTTTCATTAATAATCATTTATAACTTTATATTCTTAATCTCACAATATATTAGAAATAAATTAAAAATCATATAAAAATAATGAAAGAGTTAATTTTGTTTAACCTAATTTAATATGAAACTTTTAATCAATTTAATTAAAAACCTATCATTATTAGATGATTTAATTAGCTTACATATAATATAAATACTTTAATTAATAACTTATAATCCAATTATTTAGAAATTTAATAATTTAATATAGAATATAAATAATTTAATAAATTATTATACAAAATATATTAGTATGGTATATTTTAAACTTTAATTTTATTTTTCTTTAAATATGTATTCATTATTTTACACTTAATTTTTATTGATAGTTAAAATATAAAATTTCACAATTTTTATTTTAAAAACTGAAATTTAATTCTTAATTATTTGTATTTATTTGGCAATGGTAATTTTTTTAATTTAAGATTTTTGATTGGAAAAAAGTCCAATACTTAATTTAAATTTCTCTACATATAATTTTTTTCATTTATTTTTTTCTAAAACTACCTTTTATGTTTGTTAAATGAAACTTTTTATTATTTATAATGAAAAAGTGTTTTTAAGAAATCTTTTTTTTTTAAGTTAGGGTTTATCATGTGTTAGGTAATTTATAAAATTTAAATGAGGTGATAAATTGATAAATAATTCCCTATATTATAACATAAATTTGATAATAAAAGGAAAATAAAAAAGAATAATCTCATTTTCTAATAAATGTATAAGTTAATAAATTAGTTGTAAGCATGTAAGATATATATTAGAATTATTTTTACACTTTAATCCATAATATTTATACTTCTTTTTCATAGAAGTTCTTAACTTTTTAATTTCTTTAATTTACTATTAAATTATAGTTAATACTTTAAAATTTAATTATTTTATATATAATATATATAATTTAATAAATTATTATATATAATATTCAGTTTGGTACGATTTTTTGTCGATTTTGAATTTATAAAATCAAAAACTGTATAAAAATATTCAGTACGATATTACTTAATACGAAAATCTACAAATTTTTTTTAAAAAAATCTAATTTTTAATATAATTCAATACAGTATAATTCAATTCGATATAATTTTTTAAAATCATGAATATTTCTAACCACCGGCGCGCAGCGGCCGTATTTCTCTCGGCTGCGTGATCTATAATGCGAATAATGTGGTGGGTGTTAACGAACTTTACCTGTCAGTTCAAGACTCCGCTAGAGGTGCAGCCCAGGCTGGCTTTACTTCTAGGTTCATTCATGAACCTTACCGTCCAAAGGCTTCTGTCTCCGGCCCAGCCCATGGGCTCGAGTAAGGGGTCCATGGGGTGGATAAGTTCACGGTCCCAAACCAAACCAGGACAAAGCAACTATGGTCGGATCCTCTGTAGAGTTATGAATTGGTGCATGCATCATTCTCATTCATAACTTTCTTCTTTTTACTTTTTTGGAGTAAGATAATTATTTTTTTAAGTGGGTCGGGAAAATATTTCTTAATTCTTAAATAAATAATTTAAGAAAATCAGACGCCAAACAACAGTGCCCAAAAAAGAAAATAAATAAAATAAGAAAATTCACTAATTTGTCTAGAGGACACTGCTGCTCTGTCAGTTTCCCTTTAAATTTTAATATAGAAAATGGGTTTCACTTGAATAATCTTTAAAATTAAAAATATTCCATAATTATTTATTAATTATCCTCACCACTAGATGTGATCTATATATATCTACAGAGTTTTTAATTATTGGGTATTTTTTTTATGTAAAAGAATATTTAAATGGTGGAAGCTTCTACAAGTATTGATTCAATAAAGGAGCTTACAAGGCCAAATTGAAAATACCTAATTTTTTATTTTACTTGATTCATAAAAACATGAATTATTTTCAAAGCTTTGACTCTTCAAATGAGAAAACGTGCACGCAAATGACAATCTTGTGTATATTATAGAAAGGAGAAGAAATTGATTATAGGGAAGGTGCCTGGCTGCCACGAAGAAAATTCATAGGTCAAAGTTAATGTATATAAACCCAAACTGTTGATGAATTATCATCAGGACGAAGTTCATTTTCCTTTATCTTCAATGGCTTCCATACCCTCCTCCTCCTCTTATTTTCCCAACTTTTCTTTCTTCAAGTTCACTTCTCTACAGCGCAAATGCTGTGAGATCAGCTTATTGGTTCCCAGACAGTGGCATTGAAGCCTCAGCCATAGACTCCACCCTCTTCACCCGCCTTTTCTGCGCTTTTGCTGATCTTGATTCCACAACCAACCAAGTCACAATCTCCTCCTCCAACGAGGTCTCTTTTGCCCAATTCACGGAAACCGTCCAGCTCAAAAATCCTTCTGTCAAAACATTAATGTCCATTGGCGGTGGCAATGCTGACGAGGCAGCGTACACTACCATGGCTGCACAGGCTCCCTCCCGGAAGAGCTTCATTGATTCCTCGATAAGCTTGGCCCGGTCTTATGGGTTTCATGGGCTAGACTTGGACTGGGAGTACCCGAACACCACCTCAGGAATGACCAATTTCGGGCTTCTAGTCAATGAGTGGCGGTCCGCGGTTGCGGCTGAGGCAACAACATCTGGGAAGCCAGCTCTTTTTTTAACAGCAGCAGTGTATTACGCGCCGAGTATTAAATGGTTGGTGTGACTTATCCCGTCCAAATATGGCAGAGAGTTTGGATTGGATCAACTTAATGGCTTACGACTTCTATGCCCCATCTCGATCCAATGTGACCGAGTCACATTCGGCACTTTATGACCCGACGGGCCAAGTCAGTGGGAGTTATGGGGTTGAGGCATGGATTCAAGCTGGTATGAACTCGAATAACTTGGTGTTGGGTTTGCCTTACTATGGGTATGCATACAAGCTTGTGGACGCTAATAACCATGGGCTTTTGGCCCGGCTGATGGAGCGGTGGGCCTGGATGATGGAGTCATGCGCTATACGCAGATCAAGACCTTCATATCCAATAACGGGGCTGAAGTTGTGTATAATGCCACAGTTGTGACAAATTATTGCTATGCTGGGACTACATGGATAGGATATGATGATGTGAGTAGTATCTCCGCTAAGGTCTCTCATATGCCAAGCAAAAGGGATTGCTCGGTTACTTTGCATGGCATGTTGCTCAGGACGACAATTGGACCCTTTCAACTCAAGGTTAGTTTCATTCCATCCTCATATTCCTACGTTTTTAAGTTTAATATTTTACCAATTTTGTTATCTACTAATCAATTAATTGCACAATTTTGGGGTTGTATTGGGCATGACTCCTCGTATAGGCTCCTTAGGCTAACATCTGTTTGTTTTAATTAAAAGGAGACAAACAATTTTAACAAGTTTAACTCTTTTGTTTAGTGATTCGTTTTTAACCAAAATTGTTCCTAATTTGACTGACCCTAAAGGTTTTGCAAGTAGGACTTTTTGTTCAACTTCAAAAATTGAGCCTCTTTTATGTAAATAAACTTATTTGTGAGGGTTGTTTGGTTTGAGAAAATCACTATTTCCAAAAAGTCAGCTCTTCTAAGAGAAGTTTAATTAAAGCTAATATACCTAGCATAAGCCCATGTCTAGTGACTAGGATTAGGCGCTTGGGGCAAGTAATTAAGCTCTATCTTCGTGTTTACATCTGGAAGCGGCTAGTGAATTAAATTACGCAACCTAACAGGGTCTTAATTAATGGATTTTGGTTCTTTTGTTTTTTCTTTTTTGGGTCAAATTGACCTAATGCTATACATATTTTTTGATTGTCGTTGCAGCTGCACAAGCATGGGGAGCATGATTATTCTCCTTTCCACGTTGTATACTTGCAGCTTTTAAATAAAATAAAAGGGCCCTTAAAAAAAAATTAAGCCCTACTCATCAGATGTGGTTAATGAATAATAATTAATGTTTTTAAATACTACTTGGTTGTGTTAGTATTTGTTTAATGAATATTGATTACGGTTGTTCGAGGCAACCCTGCGGCCAACAAAATCAATAAATGGCCAGTCTGAAAAAATCATAATTCTAACTATGCACGACTAACATTATAATATACTGTGTTTTACATCACATTAAATGTAGAATTTTCCTATATTTTATAGTTATTTTTGTGTAATCTAATAAATTAAATTTTATTTCACACAGTCCCCCCAAAGTTACTAAGTAAGCCCTTTTTCATGGATTAATTTAATTTGATGGCTGATTACTTTTGTATTCCAAATTGGCTTGAGGTTTTCTTTCTGTTTTTGGGCATATTAACTATTATAATATATCAATAGGTCCCACCCCAATTAGACAAAACGGGATGATTCTTCTTCCAAGCATCCTAGACATGAATAGCCCTCAAACTCAAGTATAAGCAATATCAATGGTATCAAAACCCTCAAGCAATGCAAGTTTGAACTATCCATTTTTAATTAATTGAGATTAAACCCTCAAGTCAACGAGTGGCGATCCATTAAGTATTTTATTGGACATGTTTGTCATTTAAATATTTCATATAATTTTTTTCGTAATTTTATAACTAGCTTTTCAACAAGTTAGGCAAACTGACATTTGAAATTTTTTGTCTAAGACGAGGCCGTTTCCAAAATCTCTACGCTCCACTCTTGGTTTCATAGAAGTCGAATAGAAAATCTCAACTTTTTTAGTTTTATACTGATAGAAAAATTTTCTGCAATATACATGTTTGTGAAGTTGCAAAGTCAGAATGGTAGCTAATAACTTGCGCTATTTCATGGGGAAGGTTTAGGGCTGCTTGGTTGATTTTAAAAAAAAATAGATTCTTTAATTTTTTACTTTTTAGGGTCTATTTGATTGACATGTTTTCTACTTCTTTCATGAAAATAGAAAATAAGGTTGAAAATGTATTTGGTTTACAGTTTTTTATTTTTATCAAAAATATTTTCTAAAAAGTGAGCTGAAATTTGAAAACTACAAAAGTTATTTTCAATTTTTTTAGAAATTTTTGAAAAATAAAAAAAACACACACTTAAAATTTAAAACCATTTCCTAAAATGAAAAACACTAAAATTAAATCAAACATGTTTCTTAAAATATGAAAATATGAAAATAAAAATCATTCTTAGAAAATAGAAATAAAAACGAAAATAGAAAACATTTCCTGAGACCAAACAGGCCCCTAATATTTACAGATTGATTAATTTGATGTGCAAAAACTTAAGAAGTTTAACGAAAAAGTTTAGAATTAATTTTTTGAGAATATAGTTTTAATAAATTTTTAGACTTTTTGAGATTCTTTTATAACTTTTTTATTTTGCTTAAAATATCCGAATGGAGCAAGTTATAAAAAGAGCAAATATATTTTTTACTTTTTTACATTTGTAAATATATTTTAGGAATAATTAATTAAAAAATCCAATAATTATTTTCATTTAAACACACCCCTCGTTAAAATTTGAACTGACAGGAATAAATATCTATTTAATAAGAGAAATGTATTTTCCTTTTTATATTGTTATTAATTTTTTGCTTTCTTCATTAATAATTATGGGAAATTAAGAATTTTAATTCGTTTTAGGCGAGTTCCTAACTATTATTTTATTATTTCAACCTTATTTTAATAATTTATGGATGTCAAGAGATTTAATTCATTTTAGGTAGGTTGACGTAAATCTTACAATAAACTGAAGCACTTATAAGTGTAAAACGAAAAAAATAATTATTTCTTAATCAATCACTAATTTATAGTATATACGGTTTGGACCTCGAATGCAAGTCACCGCAAATTTTATTTGCTTAACCAACCTCAGTCACTTTCTCTGGGAGTGGCGGCTCACAAGCGGCCAACGCGACCGCCACTGCACAGCCTTCCTAATTCTCCTCAAGTGCCCACAAATTTCCTTTGACCTAGCCAACATTAATCACCTTCTCGGGGAGTGGCAACCCACAGGCGACTAAAGCGTCGGCCATTGCGCAGCCGTCGTCATTCTCTCAGTTGCTGTTTAAAATGAACTATGTATACAATTTCAATTAAATGTTTATCTTTTATCCGCCAAATTTTTGTTGGGTTTCATTTGGACGAGAAATATGCAAGAATAAATTATTGACTTTTATTTATAAAATTTTAAAGCTTTTTTTGACTCATATGAAAGGTCCAAAATTCAAGTTCGCCCAATAAATTTAACAATCAAAAGTCCAAAAATTTTTAAAAAATCAAAATTTTATATCTTCAAAATCCATCTGCCCAATAAGAAAAAGTTCATCCGCAAGTAAAAGATGCAACACCCAGGGACCACTTCTTCCCATCCTAAGAAGCTAGGTTTTTTTTTTTTTTTTTTTTTTTTTTTTTTTTTGGGGGGGGGGGGTTGGGTAACTAGGAAGCTAGTTTTTGGGCTTCTGTCAGCGCCCAAGGACACATGGGCTCGGCAGTGGAGTCCATGAGGTGGATGAGTTCATATAGTCCAAAACCAACAACAGTTTAAGGCAACTATGGTCGGACCCTCTAGAGGCATCAATTGGTGCATGCATCATCCCCATCCATATTTTTTTTTCTTTTTATTGTTTTTTGGGAGTACGATAATTATTTTTTGAATGGGTCAAGAAAATATTTCTTAAATTATTTTATTTTCTGAACCCTTCCAACTCACACTGGTGATTGATATATTATTGTTTTCACTGTGGTAGTTTTGAAGGCATGGCAATAATCTTCATGATTTTGGTGGAAGACAGGTAAGTGGACCATGATGAGAAGGAATAGATAATCTACATTAGCATAAAGCAAGGCAATGCAACAAGTACGTACATAATAGAACAAATAAATATTTTTTACATAAAAACAATAACATATTGACCATGGATGGATCCGTGGATCAATTTATTATGAAATATTATATTACAAATTGTATTATATAATAATTATATGCTAATAAATATATTATACTTATGCAGATAATTGAACAAAATTCATATATTTTTTTTATATTCCAGTCATCCAGTCACATTCAACACTTTATGACCCGATGGGCCAAGTCAGTGGGAGTTATGAGGTTGGGGCATAAATTCAAGCTGGTATGAACTCAAAGAAATTGGTGTTAGGTTTGCCTTACTATGGCTTGCATATGAGCTTGGGGATGCTTGCAACCATGGGCTTTTGGCCAAGCAGATGGGGCGGCGGGCCTAAGTGATGGGGCCATGGGCTGTAGATTTATCAAGACATTCATATAAAAGAATGGGGCCGAAGTTGTGTGTAATGTCACAATTATGACAAATTATTGTTACGCTGGGACTATATGAATAGGATATGGTAATGTGAAGAGTATATCTGCTAAAGTCTCATATGCCGAGCAAAAGGGATTGCTTGGTTACTTTGCATGGCATCTTGCTAATGACAACGATTGGGCCTTTCAAAACAAGGTTAGTTTTGTTCATCCTCTTGCTTACATTTTGAAGATCAATATTCACCAAATTTGTAATCTAGGGTTCATTTAATTGCACAATTTTGAGGATAACATTGTGTTATTTCAATTAAAAAAAAGACAAATACTATTAACAAGTTCGACTTTTTTGTTTGATGTTTGTTTTTAGCAAATCGGCCAGCGAAGATAATTGATTTTTTATTTTTTGACAAAGTGTAGAATGGACGCGTCAGGAAGGAATTAAACGTGAGTCAATCTGGTGGATATGTGGTGTTCTGCCACCGGTCCACTGGTGGGTAGCAAACTTGTTTAATAAAATATATTGTTTGGAAATTATTGGATGTAAATCAAATTAAGCATTTATTCCATGTTAATTTAAGTTATTGTAACTAATTAATTAATGAATATGAAATTTAGTGATGAAGGTTAATTGAAGTTATTGTACCAATTAATAGTTTTAACTCTTTAATTTTTAATAGTATCATATATACACACACATAATATTTTTATATTACATAATTTTTACCTCACAGTCTAATTATAATTCAATTAATAGTTAGACGGATGAACTGATAAATTCTCCTAGAAGATGTTGAGATCTTTTTAAATCATCACTCAATTTAAATCTATTATTATCATCAACCGGACATAAAAAGACATGGTACAATTTCTTGGCTTTTTTCTCTACAATGCTTGACCGAAACGTTCTACATAGAATTTGCATTATTTTTTACTTTATTTGTTAGAAATTCTCTAGTAAAGACGTTGACATCATTTTAAATTGTTGATTCAAATTTAAATTTATTATTGCCACCAACTGACATGAAGCGAACATAGTGCAATTTCTTAACTTTTTTCTTCACAATGCCCCTATTGAAATGTTCTATTTAAATTTGCATTTATCTTCACTTTATTTGTTAGAAATTCTATTAAAAGATATTGAGACCTTTTTAATCGTCAATTCTATTTAAATTTACAATATCATTAACTAACATAAAAAGATATGGTTTAATTTCTTCACTTTTTCTTTACAATGTCCCGACAGGCTTATGTTCAAGGGTTGTTTGGTTTGACAAAATCATACTCTTCTTAAAAAAGTCAGCTCTTATGAAAGAGGAGATTGAGAAGTCAGTTGTTTAGCAGATGGTGGTATAATAGTTACTTTTCCCTTGAAAAAAGTTCAATTAAAGCCAACATATTTAGTGTAAGCCCATGCTCAGTGACTGGAGTTAGGCACTAGTGGGGAGTAATTTAGATTTGTTTGCTTGGGGTCACGTCTAGAAATGCCTAGTAAATGCACGTTAGTTTTGTTTGCGTTCTAATTAATGTAGCCTAATAGCATTTTAATTAATGGATTTTGGGTCTTCTGTTTGAATTTTTTTTTTTCAAATTGTCCTAATAGATATTTTATTGTCATTGTAGCTGCAAAAGCATGGGGGAGCACGACCATTCTCCTTTCCACTTTTGTATACTTACAGCTGTTGAATCAAAAAAAGAGAAGAGGCCTTAACTAAAAATTAAACCCTAATAATCAGATATGTTTGTCACATCTCCAAAATTGGGTGCTTGACTCACACAGGGCCAGAATCAATTGATAAAGTTCAACTTAAGGGTTGTTATGCAATCTTAACTAAATTTTGGGAAAATTTTTGGCAAAGTTTCCTTTTAAAACTGGACCTAACACAAAATTTTTAACCTATTGAAAATCACAATATTAAAACTTAATAGTGGCCCCCAAACATAACATATTGCATTAAAGTATAAAATTTCACAATATAAGGCATAATCTATACAGAAGAGACTTGTTTGTGCTAGTGAAACTATCTAGAATACAAGCTATTAAAGTTTTCAAAATAATAGACACACAAAACAATGCTTCCAAGAATGTCAACTCACCATAAGAATACAAATCTCAGAAGTCAACTAAAATAAGGAGTAAGATCTACATGGGGATTTGAGATGTTAAGAAAGAACTGGTTCGACCCACTTAGTGAACAATTATACATATACTTAACATGTTGGGATAAGCATCAAGTCAAAACATTTAAAAATCTATTTCTGAGCAAATCAAGATATTTGAAATAAAATCTTATTTAGGAGCCTCATACACATCAAAATCAATCTTATGAGTCAATAATGCATGGGAATATCAGTATTATAGAATCAAACTTTAAGGCTCCGATCATATCAGAATCATGATAAGCACACAATCATAGAACATATCCGTATATGTGGGCCAAACATGACGAGCTAGCATCATTATCTCTGCTAGCTAGGGCTCAGAACAAGGTGCACTAAGACTAGTAAAGCCCCTACTAGTGAAGGGTATCAAAATCTTCTAGTACATGAATTTAATCAAATTATGTAACATGTTTCCCTTCTGTCAAAATTTACCAAACACACACATTTATCAAAATCTCGAGTTTTGTGTGAAATAAAGTTGCCCATTTCAACACATAATGAAAATTAATTGGATTCAAAGGTCACAACACGTTTTTTTCAAGATACTTATTCCTATTTATAATCTTTCATAAAGTCAAAGCATATTACATAATTTGCCAAACCACTTTGGTGGACACGATTTTTAATTAAAATCATAAAGTATAATAGAATGTTCAAAAAATAATAAATATAATCATCACATGATAAGCATTTATAACAAAATAACTTATTGAAGACATGTATTACTACTAACAATGTGAATGGCAAGCAATAAAACCGAATTTTTTAGCCACTATGTGACTCGTAGTGTCGATGAGGTAATTAAATTAGGGAATCTATACTATCAATGAAGCGAGTTTAGAGACCTAAACAACTCTTAAAGAACTCCCAAAATAAGTTTGCTATCAATATCTAACACCATCACATAGATCCCTTCATAAGAGTTCTTGGAGAAGTAGAATGTATATTTATATACACACACATATATGCACTCATGTTTATAGTAGTCCTTCAATAGTGGAGTCAAGGTAAGGATGTGAACTCCTCACACACTCTAATAACCCAAATTGGTAACTAGGGATATAGATGGTTAAATTAAAATGTTTGGGGGTGATTTTGGGAATTTAGGGACTAAAATGAAGGACCAAAACTTGGGGGAGTTAATTCATAGAAATAAAAGAAGCTGGGGCAGAAAAAAAAAAATATGGCTGAGGATCGGCGAATGATCCAGAGAGAAATTGCTCCAATGAGAGCGATCCAACACAGAACAAACTTTAAGACTTTGTAAGTAAGATAAACCGAGCTAGAGGGAAGAAAGAAATTGGAGAAAATTAGGAAGAAAACGGGAAGAACACCATCTGGGAAGCCGCGGCTCCGACGAGAAAATTTTGGAGAAATTACAGGTAAGTGATTAATTTCCTTCCGATTAAAGGTGGATATAGGGTTCGAAATTTATGGAATTTGGTTTAGAATGTTTTAATTTTATCAAATGGGTTGAAATGGGGTTGAATTGAAGCTCAGGGCGTTCGGGTCTGGGAGTTGTAGATTCCGGGTTTGTGACCTGGGTTTTGGGTAAGGAAGAAAGGGACCGGAAGGGTCCGGGTCCCTGGCGGGGTCGGCCCGGCCTACTGGGGCCGGGGCTCGGCTCAGACGAGCTGGGCAATCCGGGGTTGAGCTGTGGACCAACCAGGGTGGTTGCCGTAGTCGAGTCTGTTACAGACTCGGATGCTAGCCGGGTAGCAGGGAAGAGACCCGGCTGGGTCCGGGTCCCTATGCTGGGTCGGCCCAACCTACTGGGCCTGGGCTCGGCCTAGATTCGCTTCAGGCCCACGGGCTGAGCCGCGGGCCAGCCTGGGTGAGGACCGGGCGAGTCGACTGCTGGGTTGACTCGGCCTAGTGAATAAAGGGTGCGGGTCAACTCAGCCTAGTTGACCCAGAAAGGGAGATTGGGAGACTATTCCATAAGGACAAAAAATTTGGGATAAGGTCAGATTGAGGATAGCAGGGGATAGTATAATCCAAGATTTGGGGAATAGGGTTCAGGGAGTTGACTGAATCGGCCAGAAATGGTCCAAAGTTTGACCGGCCAGTTCAGTGGTCAAATGGACTCGGATTTGGGAAGTTGAACGGTTTTGGATTCAGGGAGAAAATACCTATCAAACCAAGAGTTCGGGAAATTTTGGGTGTCCGGTTCAAGGTAAACGGCCGGTTTAGTGTAATTCCTTCGGGTGACCGGTTCACCGATTTTTGGGCGGTTCTGGGGAAGTTGGACCGATTCCTGGTTCAACATGATGAAACCTAGTTGACCATGAAATTTGGTGATGTTTGAATATCGAGTTCAAGGTGAACCGGCCTCGATTTGCGTGTCGATGCATAAAAATTAGACTTTTTGGCCCGGTTTGGCCTAATTTTAAGGTTTTTGGCTAGGTTAGTATGATTCCTAAGGTTTTCAGGTCTCTGAATCCATTTTTGAGGTGTTTTAGGACCAATTGAGTTGAGTTCGAGGTAGTTTTGGGGTTGGATTAGGCCGGTTCTGGGGTTTCAGAGACCGATTCACTATGGGTTAGGGGTTGTGGAGGCTGGTCCGTCCTTTACTGTTAAGGGTTTTTTGAGCCAAAGTATCAGGATTCGATGATGGGTAAGGGTGTCTCGGGATGCATGTCAGGTACGAGAATGGGATTCAAGCCCCGTTTTGAGCTGTCGAGCTGTTTGGGTACTGACGATGAGGTCGGTGATAGTTTTTGCATGGTTTTGACTTCAGGTTCACCCGTGGAGGAGTATCGGGACTGGAGGGTTGATTGACGTGACCTGAGGCTTTTGTTAGATTCGGCCTACACTGTGAGTGATGATACCCTCTCTATAACTGTGTTGCATACTTGTTTCTGGCTGGTGTGCATGGATTTACGAGACTGTGTTCGATATATGAATCTTGGAATGCGTGTTATGTGCTTTGTGAACTGTTAGTAGATTATGTTAATATGTACCACTGATTTTGGGAGATGTGGATTTAGTGTGTATGTGTATCTGGTTTAACTTGCGTGTGATGATGATATTGTGTGATGTGATGTGGGGATGCAGGAACTCAGTTAGAGTACGGATCCGTAGGGTCCAGTGGTGAGCGGCCTGGGTTGGGCGAGTTACTAGCGATGCAGGAACTCGGCTGGAGTACGGTTCGTAGGGTCCAGTGGTGAGTGGCCTGGGTCGGGCGAGTTACTAAGCGATGCCAGGAACTCAGCTGGAGTACGGTCCGTAGCATCCAAAGGTAAGCGGCCTGGGTCAGGTGAGGTAACTGCGATGCCAGGAACTCGGCTGGGATACGGTGATCTGTAGTGTCTAGTGGTGAGTAGACCTGGGTCTAG